CCGACGATATTACGACGCCCTTCCCCTTCCTTCTGGACTCCGATCCCGACCACTTCCCCTCCCCATCCCGACCTCTCCCTCCTTTCTCGCATCCCGACTTCCATCCCTCCCTCCTCCCGACTCCCATCCCGACCTTTCCCCCTCCCATCCCGACCATATTCCGACGCCCTTCCCCTTCCCGACTCGGATCCCGACCACTTCCCCTCCCCATCCCGACCTCTCCCTCCTCCCGACTCCCATCCCGACCTCTCCCCTTGCCGACCTCTTCCCCTCCCCAACCCGACCATATCTCGACTACCATCCCAATCTCTCCCCCTTCCTATCCATCGCCTCCGACCTTCTCTATCCGTCCATTGCGACCTTTCTTTTCCCGACTCCCTTCCCCCTTTTCTCTTTTCCTTTTTTTGACGCCCTTCCCCTTCCCGACTCCCATCCCGATCTCTCTCTCTCCCCACCCCGACCTCTCTCCCCTTTTCTTTCTTTGCTTACCTTTCCCGACTCCCATCCCTCCTGTCTTCCCCTATCTCAACCACTATCCCCCCTCCTCTATCCCGGTATGGTCCCTCTCCCCCTTCTCGACTCCCATCCCGACTTCTCCCCTTCCCCATCTCGACCTCTCCTCCCAACCTCTCCCCTCAGATGTTATCGACATGTTGGTGTGTATGTGTGCCAAGAAAAATCCTTCTTCAGACGCCCTTCCCCTTCTCGATTCCCATCCCGACCTCTCCCCCTTCCCATCGCGACCTCTCCGTTCTTCCCGCCTCTCCCTCTCCCCTATCCCAACCACTATTCCCCCTCCTCTATCCCGGGGATGATCCTCCTCCCCCTTCTTCACTCCCATCCCGACCACTTTCCCTCCGCATCCCGACTTCTCCATCCTTTCCCGTGTCTCGACTTCCATCCCTCCCTCCTCCCGACTCCCATCCCGACCTCTCTCCCTCCCCATGCCGACTATATCCTGACTACCATCCCGATCTCCCCCCCTTCCCACCCATCACCTCCGACCTTCTCTTTCGCTTCCCGACTCCAATCCCGACCACTTCCCCTCCCGATCCCGACCTCTCCCTCCTTTCCCGTATCCCGACTTCCATCCCTCTCGACTCCCGACTCCCATCCCGACCTCTCCATCCTTTCCCGTATCCCGACTTCCATTCCTCCCTCCTCCCGACTCCCATCCCAACCTCTCCCCCGCCCTATCCCGACCATATCCCGACTCCCATCTTGATCTCTCCCCTTTCCCATCCGTCGTCTTTGACCTCCTCTATCTGTCCATCGCGATCTTTCTCCTCTCGACTCCCATCCCGACCTCTCCCTCTCCCCATTCCGACCTCTTCCCCCTTTCCTTCCTTCGCTCCTCTCCTCCTCCCCATTCCGACCTCTTCCCCCTTTCCTTGCTTCGCTTACTTCTCTCTCCATTCTCGACTGCCATCCCGACTCCCATCCTGACTTCTCCCGACTTTCTTCGTGCTAGATCTTTCCTCCCTCCTCTATCCCGATCCCTCTCTCCATAAATGTTTCCTCCCTCCTCCTCCTTTCCATCGTTCTCTCTCCTCTTCTCTCCTCCTTCTTTCCGTGGGGTGCCACGTGGCACACTGGTGTGCGCTGCAAAAAAAAAAAAAAAAAAAAAAAAAAACTTTTCGACACCCTCTCCCTTCCCGACTTTGATCCCGACCACTTCCCCTCCCGATCCCGACCTCTCCCTCCTTTTCCGTATCCCGACTTCCAACCCTCCCTCCTCCCGACTCCCGTCCCGACCTCTCCCTCCTTTCCCGCATCCCGACTTCCATCCCTCCTTCCTCCCGACTCCCATCCCGACCTTTCCCCCTCCCCATCCCGACCATATTCCGACGCCCTTCCCCTTCCCGACTCCGATCCCGACCACTTCCCCTCCCCATCCTGACCTTTCCCCCTCCCCATCCCGACTTTATTCCAACGCCCTTCCCCTTCCCGACTCCGATCCCGACCACTTCCCCTCCCCATCCCGACCTCTCCCCATCCCGACCTCTCCCTCCTCCCGACTCCCATCCCGAACTCTCCCCCTGCCGACCTCTTCCCCTCCCCATCCCGACCATATCCCGACTCCCATCCCGATCTCGCCCCCTTCCCATCCATCGCCTCCGACCTTCTCTATCCGTCCATTGCGACCTTTCTCCTCCCGGCTCCCTTCTCCCTTTCCTCTTTTCCTTCTTTTGACGCCCTTCCCCTTCCCGACTCCCATCCCAATCTCTCTCTCTCCCCACCTCGACCTCTCTCCCCTTTTCTTTCTTCGCTTACCTTTCTCGACTCCCATCCCTCCTGTCTTCCCCTATCTCAACCACTATCCCCCCTCCTCTATCCCGATATGGTCCCCCTCCCCCTTCTCAACTCCCATCCCGACTTCTCCGCCTCCCCATATCGACCTCTCCTCCCAACCTCTCCCCTCAGATGTTATCGACATGTTGATGTGTATGTGTGCCAAAAAAATAAATAAATAAAAAAATCAACCTCTCCCTTCTCCCTTTCCTCTTTTCCTTTTTTTGACGCCCTTCCCCTTCTTGATTCCCATCCCAACCTTTCCCCCTTCCCATCACGACCTTTCCATCCTTCCTGCCTCTCCCTCTCCCCTGTCCCAACCACTACCCCCCTCATCTATCCCGGGGATGATCCTCCTCCCCCTTCTTCACTCCCATCCCGACCACTT